GTGCATTTTTATCACGCAAAACACTTTGAACCAATCCGTCTTTAGATCGCGCGTAAGGTGGTAATACGATAACCTATTGATGACGTCTGACACTTAATTAAATCAAAACAATATTGCTACAGCTCTATAAATAGTCTTTTCTCCTACGTGGTAGCAGCATGCTTTGGCAGTTCGACAAAATACCGATCAAGGGAGGTTCAAGGCATCGACATGTGCATAACTTGGGATCATGGCTGATCTGACAGTTTCGATGGGCTGCCCGGCCGAATGCTATTCGACGCTAGTAATTGTTTGCAGAGTTCGATAATTGGGAGAACAGTCATAATTCTGGTGACCTGTTATTTCCTTGGGACCAGACAGCTCACTAACCAGCAGTGGGGTCTGAGAACACTTGACTTAGTCCAGCGTAGAACAACCTACGTGCAAGCGCGAAGTCATAAAAACGCCTAGGTTATCTGAACAGAGTAAACACGGTCCCCGCCTACCGCCGTTCAAGCGTAATTGCCCCAGATCTCCTACTTTTGAGGGTCACGTATGTGGTAGTCAATTTGTGTTCTTACCCTGTCTTTATTCCCGTAAATAGCTCTTCAACCAGTCCAATCATACAAAAAAGCCTGTGACGCGAAATTCAAAGGAAATCTGTAACCTTGTGACAGGTCGCAACAATTCGCGACCTCCGAAATGAACGCGAATTGGCCACCTCATTGTGACGTCGATGCCAAAACCGCCAGTCGGTAATAGGGCGTCTATCGAGGGGGCTTAGAGGTAACTGTTGTGGGACTCGAACCAACGGCGCGGACATGGCGATGTGCAGGGGGAGAGGTAGAACTAAGAGAGACCAGATCCGACTATTATTTAAGTACAAAGCTCATGTCTACTGTGGAACAACCCTTGGAGTCAGCCAAAAGGATCAGCTGGCTAGGTTATGCAGTGTCACCAAAGCGATGATACGATTAGTATTATTATTTGGAAGCCCCATTAAGTTATTTCATCCACGCGTACAAACAAGCGTGTTCGCGAGCGCGTGTGAGTGCGCGCGACAATAAATCACGTTCGCTGCGCCCGTCGCCTAGCAACCAGTAGGGCTTAACCGTGTTTGTGTGTGCTGGGCCGGGTATTTGGTCTGGATGGCACGACTACTCTACGACACGCCTTCTATCAATCTTGTTATTATTGCCACTTTTTTGTAGCCGTGAGTAAAGTCAAAACGGAAATTGTATCCACCCATGAAATGCCACCTTTCCACCACGACAATGAACACTTTGACGCCCCAAACACCGCGAAAGGGGATTCAACTCTTCCCACAGACTCCCACGGCAACACAAAACATTGATTTCGCATTTGGCTCTTCACTCACCCTACAAACTGATTTGGCACGGTCGCCTTGGTAATTATGTGTCAGCGTGCCCCTCAGCATTGAGTGGCCTGTGAGATTCACACATGTTTCCGAGGTTAGGGGTCGTTAAGCAGACCCAACAGGCAGAGATGGCCAGCCGACTCTATGCTAACCATATGACGGAGCAATCGTACCTAATAACTAGCCACACATGAGCATCGACTTGGTCAGAGGGTTGATGCGTTACCAAACGAAGGTGGTAGATTTTTATTCGAGGAGGGGTTTCCGATTTCCTGTGTCACCAGGGCCTCGAGTCTGGAAGCAGACTGGAGACTCTTCGTTGTGCAACCCTTTGTGGCATTCACAACTCAAATTCCATAGCCTCGACTACCTTCCCCTGCCTTCCCTTTGGATGTTTTATCCGTTTTGGTTCAAAATTGACTCAGGCATTACGTATCTCCTTTGTGACTTTGAATAGCTATATTTGCGTGGGACAAGGTACATGTGTTCCCTTTATCTTTGTTGACAACCTCGGTGCTTTGTTCCACGTAAAATTTCCACTAGCCTGTTTAAACATCCAATAATATTGTGCGTCGGAATCACGACCTTGTTCACACGGGTCGCGCCATTTCCTCAAAACCAACATCACATGTTTGTGGGCGCGTGTGAACAGGGAGCGTGAGACCCTTCTGAACGTGAAACCTTACAAACTGTCGACGGGCTGCACACTAATAAATAATGCGTATACAGTGGTAGGTAAAAAAAAATAACACGTTAGTTTGATGTAATGTGCCAAATGAGCGGCAATCTAGAAGGATTCGTTGCTACCAGTCAGTCCATCAGGAAGAGCCACAGCGCCGTGGTTAATAATTTTAAAGACAATGACTGTAATATCAAGAATCTGATACATTTTATATCTACGGAATACCGCGTAAAGGTGTACCGTTGATTGGAACACAATTAGTGCCGGTGAAAGTAAAGGATGGTAATTTAAGGGAGGTTGGCGTTTGGAGTGTATTGGGTTACGTGCGAAGTTGGAGGTCAGGGGAACAACAGGTGGGACATTTCCCACCCCTCTGCCCACATCGATACGTTTTTTGCTTAAAATAGGTGTAACGGGGAATTCACCGTAGTGTGTGGATGTCTAGTGAGCACTAGCGAAGACCCAAACGAACCCATTACTTCAGTTAACTTATTTTCACGTTACCCTTCCCTTCCAATTTATGACCTCCACATGACACAGCCTGTAAACACTGTACTTTCGTGTAGATTAAACGATTAAAGAATGGGTGATTGATCAGTTAGTCGTCTTCAGTTTTACTGACAAACAATGAGCCCATTAAGTACTGGTTCCAGTTGGCTGACGTTGTATTTATTTTTGTTAATTCTTACAATTTTTGATTGCCATCAGTCCATTTTCGAAAGCGTTCTCACGGAGAAGCACATCGCATTGCGTAAAAATTTTGAGATTGTTAGGAACTTAGCATAAAATCGTTACTGCTACAGTCGAGCACAGTTCAGTGTGCGTAGAGTTAAAAATCGATTGACATCACCTCGCACGCACAACCGAGTGATTTGCGCTCGCTCTGCGGTGATTGGTTTTTGAGACTAAATTCGCTTGCACAGTCTACTAACCGGTCTTTTCAACATCAAACAACATCGGTTTCATCATTGCAGACGATGTACGTAAAGGTTGGGGATACAATGAATTGATTAACACTCAAGAGCTCATTAAGACGGCGTTGTTTACGTCAACACTACCGCCAACACGAACGAAAGTTTGGAATTGTTGTGGTGGAGTTATGTATCCGCAGCAATGGGGCCAAAATCTCGACTCAGCTTTGACGAAGCAAAATGCAAAGTAGTTCCAGCCAGCCACGCCATAACCTCAGACAGTGATGCTGCAGACGATGGCCCATCACACAGAGGTCAAGTTTGGGCATGTCGAATTCTCATGGGGAGAGTAGTAGGCGGTCAGCCGTTGGAACTGATTCTGAGTATTTGCGGGGGTGCTAAAGTCATCCAAGCGTCAGTTGTTTTTAGGAGACATCTACTGGGTCAAAAGGCGGTGTGCGTGGTTGTGAATTTATGTGGCAAAAGACTCCAATCAGTGCGAAGTGTTGATAAGAAGGATGCTTTCGTGGAAATTTTGCTGCAGACCAATAACATGTGATGCCAATCAGCCGATTTGTGCCAAAATGCGAGCGCTTGAAAATAAAGCCACGAACCCAACAACATCGGGTAAACACGAGAATCTTGTTTTGATGCCAAGGCCGGTTCTCTAATGCCCAAATAGTTCCAGTTTCATCAACCAAATGTAGAAATGGCTCTAAATTTTCACAGGCCACGAAGTTGCACAGTTCTGTCCTAATGTGAATGCAATCAAATTCGTATACATTGGTTGTCAATTTCTGCCAACAAAATTTTGGATAATTCAGTGGGAGTCGAAGACAATCCAGACACCGTTGCCCGTGGTTACTAACAATCAGTACATATTCCTCGTCTAGGTGCCTTCCATTGAAATGCACTGTCAATGAATCGTGCAGGTTGCATTTAGCGCTAAAACTATTGCTCTACACGGAAATTGTCAACTGTTCTTGAATCAATACAAACGATTTGCCTAGACATTAAACCGACACAATTTAAATTTATCAATGATCGTAACAGGAAACTCGATTCGGATATTTTTTGACCAGGAACAACAAGCTGCTTCGAGAAGTTTCTGCTGATTTTGGGAACAAGTAATGCCTCATTAATGCTATTTGGGACACATCTAATATAATATAGCTCTACGCTCTCACTTTTATTAATGTCGAGACAGGCAGGAGACAGCGTATCAGAGGAGGGGTGTTTCAGTTGCGAGAGCTATTGGCCCCCTACCTGAAACCCCAGTTGGTGCGTTAGGTCGTCACCAATCGTCACTCTCAGCCAATCATATGTCAGTGTAAAACGCATTGGTTGTAAACTCTAATTTTCGCGCTCATTTGCAAAATTGTCATTTGATTGGCGATCTTCGTGAAAGTCCGTCGACGGACACGTTATCCATTGGTTGTGGCTTGTCTCGTCGACGATTGGTTACTGATGAATGTAAGACAGAAGAGGGTGGTGGCGGTGTCGACATATGACTTCGCGCAGACTTGAATGCAACCCTGTGCAACAGCACACTCCTCTCAGTTATTGAAGACGTCTGCGACCTTGTGGACCTCGTTTCATTTACTGACACAAAGTGGAATTTTTGTTTCGTTGCTATTGAGCAAATTACGTACGCCGAGCTATCTGATTTGCATGAGCTGACTTGACCGGATTATACCATGAATCGTAGTAGAAGCCGCATTTATACTGTCGAAAGGCTTATTGATCGACGAGTTAGAATGGTGAGGTTCTGCTAACATTTAAAAAGTTTGTTTTTATATAACGCTTACATAAATGCTTGGTTGATACATTGACTTGGTTATTCATATTTTAAATTCTTTACTCGAGCTAATTTTTGAGCGCATACTAAAGCCCTTCAAAGTACTAATCTTAAATGTTTACCCAATTTTCCAGAACAAGGTTGAATATCTCGTCAAGTGGAAGAATTGGGATGATAAGTAAGTCCATATTCTGCTTAAATAACCTGGGATTCAGTAAAAGAAAAGCCTACACGCAATTTGTTCTCGTTAGCATGCTTGCAGTTGACGCGTGCGAGCTGTGCGTACGTATGCCATCCTGCGTGCGTACGTTCTCCCCTCGCCTGTGTGAACAGCTGTTTGCTCGCGATCAATAGGCTATTTTAACTGGCTAGAATCGCATTGATCTGTCGTAGCGCGCACGCGCGCTTTTTGGTTAACGTGCAGACGGCTATAGGTGGTAGTGCGGTCGTGTGTGAATGCGTGTACGCGCGCTAACTAGCTTAGCGTACGTTTGCGGTAGTCGAATTTTGCTCATGCCGCTTGTTGTTAGCTTGGCCTACTGGTCTGGCATAGAGTTCATTTTAACAAAGCAAAGACTCTGAAATTCGCCAATTTCTGTGAACAATAGGGCAGTATAGGGAAGCCAAATAAAACCTAAAAGGCGTCTTAATCAGTGTAGTTGTAAGCATAGATTAACGCTGCAATTTAATGTTATTTTTCAAGTTTACTGCAGAGCGTGTTCGCGGTCTGTCTCACACCAGCGGACTTTTTTAAACATCAAAAAGGTTTTGTACTAAGTCATCATAAAACTCGTATCCAAAGTTAGGCAATAATCAGGAATGCTATGTTGAGTGGGACCCTAATGCATGTAGGTTTGCTTGTCGGAAGTTTTTCTGAACTGTGGAAGTCACAGGGTGTTTTTAGTCGTTCCCTTTTCATCCCTAGACATAACACGTGGGAACCAGAAAAAAATATTCTGGATAAGGCGTTAATTGACAATTACCAACGGTCGGAGTCGAGAAGGCGAAAGTCCGGCTCCACACCAAATACTTCCCGAAGCCCATCGAAGGCACCTCGATCCCCTACCCCTCAACTCCCTGAACCAAAGAAGCTGAAGGAGACAGTTACTGTCGCTACTGAGATTGCTCCTAGCACTCAACTGAGCGAACCCCTCACAGTGAGCGTGGCGTCACCCAAAAATTCTACTCCCGCAGCTCATTCTGGGTCAAGCTCCATTGGCACAGCAACAGTGTCCTCCATCGGTTCCCCCCGTGCGATAGCCTGCGACACAGGTGACGGATGCGACTGGCGAGTGGATAATCGATTGCGACCCACAACTCTTTTGGTGACAGCGGCTTCGGCTTCCGCGGCGAACACTAGAATGGCTGTCAAAGGACCATGGTTGGAAAACAGTAGTCGAGCGAGTACCTCTCCGCCTTGTGTGGTGCGTTCAACACAAGACTTAAATCTCACTATTTCATAAAATCTTAGCATTCACCGCGTTATTCTTGCTCTGTTACAGGCGTCTCCAGTCAAACATCCCCGGATTCGTCTTAAAATCCCGAGAGAGCGACTTCTTTCCTTGGGGCCAGTGGTAAAGGAAGAAGAAAATTCTTCCTCTAGCGAAAGTTCCACCGTCGATGAAGTTGAGCTACCTCGTCGGAATAAAGCCGTAACGAGAGATAACGCGTTAGTAGTGATTCCGAAATGCGTAGAGAGGCCGGACATAAAGGCCTACTCCCCAGAAGCCATATCTCATCCTCCAATAGGTCTAAAGCTTCAGTCGAAGCGGTTCAGTGCTGTATTTGATCCCTTGAAATGCAAGGATTACATATCATCCACACCCTCTCTAAAAAGAAGGAAGAAGAGCAGACATGGGACGGGCGAAGAAGGGCGTCGATCGTCGTCCTCGTCGTGCGTTAGCATTTCGTCTGGAGAGAGTCCGCGTCGTCTGGCACCTCTCAGAATTCAGCTTTCTCGGAATGGCGGTTCCACGGCCTTTCTTACAACCCCCCGATCTTCAGCTCCTACACCTTCCTCCACTATGCCTCCTTCCATTCCCGATAGGGACATTTCCATTACCGACGTGACGGTGGGTGGACTGACAGTCACGATAAAGGAGTGCTCTACACCGAAAAACTTCTTTGGTCTCCCAACTTGTCAGGTGGTGACGATTCCCAGGCCTCCTCTAGCTCCCCGTCCAATCATTGAAAAGACAGAGGCGGTGTCTGTCAGGTCCATATCATCGAAACCTCCACCAGAAGTAATCCAAGTACCTGTTGACGAAAATGCCGAGCCCCAACCGAATGTCGTTGTCGAGGGATGCTCTAAAACAGAAGAACCCGTGTCCCTACCTTCTCCTTCACCACCTCCTCCCCCTCCTCGTTCAGTCAGTCCTTTGGCGCCGCCGCCACCGTCGCCACCGCCACCGCCCCCTCCTCCACTGCCGAAACGTACCTCCACTCCCGTAAAGTCTCGGTGTGAAAAGCGTTTGTCGAGTCCGTTGGCCAGGAAGGTCATCCGTCGCAGTATCTCCAGGAAGTGCCCTGTTCCAGTGAAGAAGGCTCACGTAGTGAGTGTCGTTCCCCCAACCAAGGCGATGGCAGAGACCGTTTACGCCTTCCACGGTGGCGATTCCCCTCCGCCGTCTGCTCAGCCCCCACCGCCTCCCCCTCCAGCACTACATCCTGTGCCAGAACCGAATCAGGTGCTCCCCCAGCCAACACCACCCCCTTCCCTCCTCCAACTCCCATCTGTTCCACCGGTGACTGCTGCTTGGGAGAGTTACTTTAAAACGGTAGGCTTTTTCCCCCAGTCAGACCTCATATCGCCTCATCCCCCACCACTACCCCCTCCTGTTATGTTTCCAACTCCTTTCATGGGAGGATCCCATTCTGCACCGTCATCAGCCCATCTGCAATTACCTCCACATCTCCTTGCTATGGGCCCCCCTCATCAGGCGCATGCAGGACTACTGGATGAGATGCAGCCAATCGATTTATCGACGGGTTCACGACGTTGAAGTTTCCTATTGGTGTAACACACAGTCTTTCGTTTGTACATAACCCACTTGTATCATAAAACAGATCAGAGAGTTTCTAGATCGATCTATACCTATTATAGATTTCCAGTATAAGAAAACCTTTTTATTAATCAATTTTCTCTGCTCATATTCTTTGCCGGTGGGTGGACTTTCGTTGTCTTGCTCAGTAATCCTTCATTTGGAGAAATTTCAGTTATCCGAGCCGGCGATAAAAACATTTTGAGGTGTCATCGATTTGCATGATGAAGCGTCGCTGTAATTACAACCTCCCTCTACTGCAACTTACGTTTTTAGTTCCCCTGAGATCGAGAGTAACTGGTAGAGGCAGCAGTACTAAGTCGCTCGCGTTTACCTAGGTGATCGATGAGTCATTGTGTAGGTGTTCTCAGTTGCACTCTAAACAAGATCACTTGAGACATACGCTCAACTTTTCGGCGATAGGATGTGCCGTGGAAGTGTCGTGACAGCGTTGATCGAAGCTTTCTAGCTCCAGACCACCCACTGCACCGTGTGAACATGTGATTCTCTCTCTCTAATGAACTGGTCACAATTAATTAAGGAGCCAGCGGATTATAAATTTAAAGAAAAGACCATCCAGGTGTTCCGGTAAATGTCGACACAATTTAAATGAGGCAGTTCGCAGTGGTTATTGGCAAACGTCATTCAGATATCTAAGGAAGAATTGTGCCAATCTCAGGGTAGGAAACTCGTTTTGATATTGGCCTGAGTGCCTTGCTTAAACTAAATAATGCGCTTCACATGGGAAGCGTTTCGAACTCTGAGATTTATCCAACAATTTTATCGCCTTCTTGGGAGTTCATTCAAATCGGAATGCGAACTAGGTCTCTGTATTGAACAGACATGGAATTACGCAACCTTGGTGCTCATCAGCAAGTGTGACTGACAGTTCCACCACAGATTAGATGCCATCCATGAGTTTTGCATTAGTGTCAGAAATAAATTGTGCATTATTACACGAACTATTCAACTTCATATCGCCCAAATCTATAATTAGTAAAATCCCTAAAATGGGCAAGAACATTGGAGGCATAAGTCGTTATAATTATGCCAGTTACCATGCTCATTTTGCCCCGAAGTGTGAATGATTTAGATTAAACGCCGTGAATTTTAACGAAACTGGCGCCGCATCGATTTCTAACTCGGAAAAACACAATTAACGCCAGCATCAACCAGCTGTTTTGTTCGCGTTCATATCGATTAGGTCGGAAGCGCATCATTTGATGCGTGAAAGTCTTCGATTGAATTACCGTGGTGTTTCCCAGACGTGCAAATTACCGAGCTTCTGGCTTTTACATAATCATTTACTTGAGACAGTCCCATAGTCATACAGTTATAAGAGCGAAAACCTACTAATTACGTATGATTTGCCGGATTATCATAGTGCACAATTATTGAAAAAAAGTTGTCTGCCATTAAACGTAGTTAAAGTGATTACATTAGTTTGGAAAGTGTGACATCCCATCTGAAAGCTCAAGATGTTGCAATCACTGGGGGGACTTTACTAAATCCACGTTTTGCTAAACTCGCTGTGGGCACTCTGATGATCTTCTTTGACAACTTCATGAAGTTTCATCTTGGACAAAAGTTTTTGGAATAAATAAACTGTATTTTTTCCAGAAAATTATTTGCAGATTGTACAGCCTATGTGTTGAGTAGATTGTTTCCTGCTGCACAAGGTCATTCATTTGACATTTTTTTCAGATGGTGATCCACAATCCTGCTACACCAACAAAACTGATCAGCTGGTGAAAAAACGTGCCTAATGTTGTGTGATTATTGCGGCAAAAGTTTGTAATTTCTGGTACAATAACACACACGACTATCTATGATCTTAAAAATGCACATATTCAGACTGAAGTTTGGCTATTTAATCTCTGCAATCTAGGCTGTGCAACCGTGGATGCAAAGGCGAATGCCTATCGATTTTCGGACAAATATTTTCTTCGTTTTCTGGGTAAGGTGACAGAGGACTGAGCACAGACCCGCTGCCAACAATCACGTGAGATAAGCTGGATCTTGTGATTAGGTCAGTGCAAGCCACGTTGAGATGACACGTGCTCAAGTAAACGAAAAAAGTATCACCTGCAACTACTTGTGTTAGGCAGCTCTTGTGAAGGCCTGCTCTCGTAACGTGAGGCGCTGTGCAACGAAGTCACAACAGCATAGTCAGTCAAGCTAAAACTGGTTTGTTGGTGCCACAGTTGTACTTGTTCAACACCGTTTAACTTGGCTCACTAGATTTCATTCTGGGAACCTTGATTGTGCCATTTTCTTCAGGCTGACACATCACCCTTGCATCCTTCCATGGCCAGCTTCATCGTTCAACTTGGCTAACGAGCACACACCGATGCAGCCATATGTGTAGCAGCGCAATTCCACAAATGCGTTCCAACTTCTTTAGACGCATTTTAGCCGCTCGTTTTGGGCAATTGAAGGTCAGATAGGGAGGCGAATGACTGCTTGAAATAGTTATCGCAGGTATCTCCGAAAGCGTTTAGACAGACATTTAAATAGCGTCGGCACAAGAAAATCTAGGTAAAGATATGTGGAAAAAACTGCCTCCAGGTTAGTCTACGACCATTTGCCTGGAGGAGGAGGAGGAGGAGAAGGAGGATGAAGTGTATCGGTTTCTTGCACTGACCCAAGAGAAAACGGTGGGCTTAACCGGTGAAAATGAAGAACAACTATTAGCACGAGGGGAAAGACCATTTTAAATATCGATTATCACCCATAAGCACTGGATTGCTAGAGGTAAAGCCAGAATCGTGAACAAATCCCGATGATTTTGCGCATCACTCGAAACGTCAGACTATAAAATCGTTCAAAATCACTGGTTAAAGTGTTCCTTTTTTCTTAAATCAACCCGGTTCTCTCCCCAGCATAGACTGATTACTTAAGGATGAGGTCACGAAATTTGGGAAAGTGGTCACGCCCTGCCATGAACAGCACCCGAAAGTAACAGCCTGCAGTGCTTTTGAATCTCACAATTCAAACTAATTTGCCTTTATCACTTCCGCCATGCTAGCACGCGATCATTCTGCTCTTTTATAAAAATTATTTGGACAAAATCGATCTAACTAGGTCCAATCTCGATTCTAACAGTTTACACGGTTGGGTGCATAGCGGCGTTGGCTTGTTCTCCACCATGTGGATTTAAATTTCGGATTAATTTTCATCCTACCTGACTGAGTGGCCAAGACCACGGGGATGACGAAATCTTAAATTCGAAACATGTCGCTACCCTACTCCCCCTCCCAACTTGAAATGCGGGTCAACTTGGAATACCCCCCCCCCGCCTATCTGGCCTCCTATGGCGAGAAGTTTTATACGTGATTTGTCATTAAATGACTACAAAATGGCTGGTTTTTTATGTCAACGTGATCTACGAAAAGTAGGATACGTAAAGGCGGTACCGTAGTGCTGTGTTACCGTATTTGGCAGAGCGTGTTGCCGGATTGGCTTATCACGAAAATAAGCACCATTGTTAGACGGTGCATAGGATTACGTGTTGAACACCAGCCCCTTTCTTGCGCGCAGTGAAGGACTAAATAATTTTCTTAAAAAAAGCATCCTGGGCGTTGCCGTTGCACTGGCTTCATGAGTCTCGCCAGCACCAAAAAGTCAGCTAATAATGACGTCTTTCGTCTATTGAAAAGGACTATTTCGTTTAAATTGAGGGATAAAGGTGCTGCATGCCTTTATATAGACCGAAAATAGCCAGTTTGGTGTTGATCCCTGCCTAATTATACCGCATATAGGTGTAGTTGAAGTGTAATCAGATATCGTGAGCAGTAACCAATCGGTTTTGTGCAGATTGCAGTGGTAAATTCACACCAATGTCCATGACAATGCCCGTGATCATGCACGCTGGGAAAATTTCACTCCAATTGAAGATGCTAACTCACTTGAGAAGCACTATTTTCAGGGACCTCGTGCACTAGTGAACTTTTACCTATATTTAGCGTGGTTTACCTCTGTAACCTGCAGAAAGCGAAGTAGGACAACAACGAGAGGATAAAATGCTCATCTGGACTTGTCATGCCTCAGTGGGAAACCCGGCCGGCGTACTCCGAACCTGCGGCACCTTCGGCACAAGTAAACTATTCAGTTGATGGCCCCACACATCACGTGACTTAGACAACGCTAGACTCCTCACCTTTTGGTAGAGCCTGCTTAAGTCCCCCAGCGACACCACAAGGGAAGGTCGTGTGTTAAAAAATGGGATTTTGAATTGACCGGACATGAGGCTATGCTCAATCCTGCCATTCCCACAAACGGCCCCTCTTTTATCGGCGGCCAAATCAAAGTGATGTATTTATGTGCACACACACACACACGCACAAGAATAATTGTTTTATTTTTCGTGTTCTTGGCGTTGCTCACTGGTAGGAATTAAATGATGTCCTAGCCAGTTTCACAGCACTACTATTAAATTAGATTACATCAATGCGCGACAAAATTGGACCAATTCCCGCGTCATGTTTTGATTTGCAAGGATCGCATAAAAATCAATGAACACTTGGTTAAGCAAAATAGGAAAGAGAGGGTTCCTCAAAGGAGTAGTCCGACCTCTCATGAGGACTATAGCTCCTGGTAGGCATCGCTAAAATACAAATTCAGCGAAGATTGCTCAAATGCATATGGTTTGTCGTGCGTCCCAATGCGGGCAAAACTAGTGTGGAAAATTTGGACAATCCGGAGTAAACGGCGTAATTAAAAGTGATTCATATTAACCACATGAACCATCCACAAAGACAGCATAGAAATGTTTCATCTTGTGATTAATTGCTCACTCCAAACGAGGATGAGAAATCAAGATTCTAGTATCGATGTTCCCCACGAAAGAATACAGGAATCCGTTCACTGCTAGATACAGTAACCTATGGAAACAGCAGCGTTAAACATAGCCTAATTATAACTAATGGGGGTTTATGACTACGATTTTCACTTCTCTCCAGATGCCGAGTAATGGCATTTGAGGTTCCTGCAAGTACGAACAGACACGAGTGGTGTGATTGGCAATCGCCATTATGACTCACACCGAGCAGTAGTCACGTGTATCGCGGTTACCTCAATTCGAGCCGTTATCTCTGCACCAGTTGTCTGACTCGCTAGAAGACCGATTGGCCTCACGATGACTGCTTTAGCTCCAATGCGAAAAAAAGTCGGTTGCTATTACCTTCGAGCATTACAAGGTGCCCGAGGGTCGTGTCTTCATTCTGCCCTCGACGCTGCTATGTAAATCTACCAAACCAAAGCGTAGCATAACGCCCGAAAACGAACAGGTGTTTTGTCGAGCAGATGGTGCTTGCCTGGCGATGCAAATCAGCGCTTTCTTGTTCTCTTATTACCATCAACACAATAATTTATTCAAGAGGCATTTTGGAATGTGACCTTGCAGTGACTTTTTGTGTAGCCATAAGGCAATGCCTTCTCCATTTCAGTGTGTGATTGGCTGTGCCGAGGACGAAAAATTTTGTCGTGTTGAAATTGCGATTTCCCTGCTTCGCTCTAGAAATGCCCAAGTGCTCGGAACTTAACCCGGCCGCTTAATTCACCTAAAAGTTGGTTTACATTTGACTGATGCTCTACACAGGACCACTACAAAACCAATCGGTTTGTGGTTTGACCCAGTCTTATCAAAACGACGATAATTTCTAAGAGTTTTGTGGATTGAGGAAGCAACCGGAAAAATCAGAGATAACCCAAACTTTGCCGGGGAATAGTAGGAGGAGAGGGTAAGCTATCTCTTGTCGATAACAAATTTGTTCGTATCGTTTGAAAGGGTCTCCTACCTGCCGGAACTGAATGGTTTTCAGGCTGCGAGACTGGTGTCGGAGCGAGACGGCGTTGGCTACTGCGTGAATGAGTCATCACATGAATAATTGAAGAGGTGGGGGAGGGGGCAGTGTTTTAGCACGTAGGGGGAGGTGGCGAGGAGGGGGAGCAGACCTCTGCGTTAACTGAAGAAAGGGGGTGGAGGGAGACACATCCTGTTTACACGGAAACGCAGATATGAGGATGGGGAGCATCAATAAAACCGATCACTGGGGCACAGTCGGAGACGTTTACTGTTGTTTAGAGTGCTCTCTGGTAAAACGTCTCAATTAGGTGTGTTTCGAGGCTGTGACCATTCGCATCCTCCTCTACGAGTTGCGTTGCTAGTACTGCCGAAAATTTGAAGGCTACCAGTGTCATTGGGGGTAAATTTATGACCGACTTTTATGCTCTTGCTGGATAATCAGTGAAAAATTACTCCGCTCCAATTATCATCGTCACAATTGATGGTAGGCTAGATGATTAATTCATACCTCCTAGTTTAAATTTAGACGCACTCGACAATTGAAATGAGCTTCGCGAGTGGCAGTGCAACCCACTGTTCAAGCAACGCATTTCACACAAGATCGATCCGCAAGCATAAGCCACCTCCACATCTGATGAAGCCACTCAAGTACTCTGAACTGCCTGTACAGTCAGCAGTCTTGAATTGTTCAATGTGATGGCAAGTAAAGCTGCTGTTAGGTTCGTTTACACGGTGAATGCTTCCAGCTATCCTTATAGCTGTTGGGTGATTCGATATTTAAAACACGCAAGCTCTTTTGGAATGCCGCCGAAGTACCCCGCCAAACTAACCACCCCCTGCCCCACCTTAAAACTCACACCGCTTTCTGAGGTATGTCACTCTAAAACGAAACACAGCTGCGTTAGGCCAAGGCGACTCCTCGAAGCCAATGACTAACCAACTGCAACTCCGTCCGAGTCAGAGTTGGACTCGTGACGCTCAACTACCTGGGCCATCTCAGACCAGTTGCACGGGACGCGGGGTAATACGCACCAAGAACCATGCGAAACCCACGGAGTCTAGCCAGAGTGACCTTCACGTGCCTCACGGAACGGTGGTTGGCGCGTAATTCCAACCGGGGACAACACTTTTTAATGGTGATAATATGGTGGATTATCACACAATGAGTGACCAAATGCTTGCCACCTCCCGCTGGGCTTCAAATAGCCCGCCTAGAGACATTTTAAAGGAAAACGGATAAAATGGTGTCTTTCTTTCGAGGCGAACAGTAATTCCCACCAAGACGAGGTTGCAAAGATGAATGTCATCGTTTGTGGCACGAAATTGAGTTCGCTCATGACCGGATACGCGGTTGAGGTCCGGTTTACTCTCCTTCTCTCCATTGGTTGTTCGTAAAAATTCGGTGCTGGTTAAATACTTTGGAGAGTCCCACATTTTTCGAAAGATAGAACAGTAATCATGAGAGACTTGTGGATTCAGAGGGAGCTAGTCCGTTGACCGCGACAAGAAGGACCAAAAGTCCAACCTCATTTACAAATACAAGTTTCTTTTCATTAAAATCTCAAAGGCAGGGTACTGAGGCCATAGTAAGTGCGGCCTCGAATAGTCAATCGACTTGACAACGTTTTGGAGCACCACAAGTTACACATATTCCCACCAATTTGTGCGTCTCGGGGATGTCAAGACGAAAGTCGGATCCATTTTTATTTTTTATCTTATCGGCTGTAGCAAGTTTTGACTAATTCTGCCCTGTATCTGGCCGCGTCCAGTGTATTTCAAAGGAGTAAACAGGGTTAGCTGGAAGGGCCATAGAGGGTGTATATTGGTCAAGTGACGATGCCGGTACTGACTCAGACGGGGATCAGGGAAAAATAAACTACATACATTCAAGAATTCGACGTGTCTAGGTCTCGCTGAACAACCAGTATCGTTAGGCACACCAGTAACCCTACCTCCCATGTTCACAACCTCTTTGCAGTCTAACTGACAAGCCAAACTAAACTAGTCGGCTTCCAATGAGCACGCGTCAACGTTGTGAGGTAGAATTACCAACGCTATTTGTGCAAGGGCTCAGTGGATGATGCACTTTTACAATTGCTGCGTGACCTACACTCACAGGTCATTTGAAGTGTTACACACCCATTGTGAAACTCAAAAGCACGCTTGTGCTCTGTGCATAGCTACAATTGGAACTCTAGTAGGATTGACAGGGCTCAAACCACGCCTGCCTACAGTGGCGGGTACAAAGGGGTGTAAGGTATCCCAACAAGACGATGTAAACAAAGCCCATAGCAGCCGGAAACAGAGCGTGGACTGACATTAAACCTCAGTCTGATATCCCTTCGCTTATTAAAAATTCAATGATTTACCAACTTCGTATATCGGAAACGTATGCGTGGATGTGTTGTGAAATTTTGACGCCATTTTGCCCCCAACTGTCGAAGGAGTGGGCATGGTCAGCTGGTGTTCCCTCGAGCCCACACCCTCCCCCTCACGACAGTCCGCATACATTTAAAATTTCAGGTCCAAAACGCCGCGAAACATGTAATTTATTGGTAGCATGTTCGCGTTTTACCCAAACACAGGTCTCCACAAACAAACAGTGGACTCGATTGAAGGACACTGTTTTGTACCAGTTCGGTGTCTACATATTATGGAACACAACTTTACGTCGGTTGGCATGTTCCGTGCTTTAAACAGATTGGGAACCCAACTAGATGCCAGTGGTTCACGGCCTTCTAGTGAGACCTCGAAAGCCTAAGCACCAGCTTATGTCATTAACCACCGTTTTGAAACGAAGGAAATTGGCTCTCAACTCCAGAATGTCACCACCTTGCAGCAGTTTGCGTCCGCTACGACCTCCAAGCAAATTCTCAAATTGACTGCCCCAGTCAGGTGTCACGGGAAAGTCAGCACAAGCTTCGCCAGTCTCCAGGGCTGAAACAGGGTCGGTATCGGTGTGAATATGTGAGATAACGCGCGCTCATGGTGACAATTCATAAATCAAGAGTCACCTTCTCAAAAGCGCATGACTACCCTGTGGAGTCAAGTGGCGGCGATAAGAGTGCCTTGTGAGTGTAACTGAAATGCATATTCATTCAAGCGCTCTTACTTGAACGGCAGGCATCAATAATTGAAACACGACGTGGTATTTGATTGCAATAAATGTATCTCTGCTTCTCAAAAAAAACCTTCTTTTTGGCAATGCAGCATGTTCTATAGGTGGTTTAGACTTGGCGCTGCAAAAAATGCGCGCATTTGCAGAGTGCATGCGCCATTTTAATTCAGCTGAGGACAGAAGCGGAAGTGCAGGCTATGTTCTGTTTAGGCCAGTTAAAGAACTACACAATATATATCTGGACAATAAGTGAGAACCACCCCGTGAGTGGTCGTTAACCAAGGGGTCATGTTTTGTAAAATAAAAACCCCACCCATTAAAGGCACTGCCTGCTGTTATTTTCTGATCTTTATTGTAAACTGGGCCGTCGCTAAATTTGGGACGGCAGTTTAGGCAGCTGGGTGGATCACGTGACACCGGATTAAACACCGTTCACGCCCTTCGCTCAGGCGGTGACCTTAACTCAGCCACAGACGTGTTCAGCGGCTAAGTGCGTAGTTGCGTGGTTCAAACTATGTCAAAAAAATCCAACAAGCATACTACGCGGATTGGTTAAATCGTCCTTTTTTTTTCAGGAAGCAGGCAATAAATCATACACACACACACGTTCACAAAATGAAGGCCCTCAATCACACGACCTGTTCTTTTCCTTTACTCAAACTGTAGTTCAGATTTTGAAATAATTTACTCGCTAACCTAATTAACTTTGATGTAAACATTTAACACAATTCACTATTTGGCGAGTGAATTCACTTAATTGAACACGTAGTCGTAAACACGAGAAATGAACCGTAAACACACAGGCTGGCATGTAATCAGTTTCCGCCCCAGCACTCACCATCGTGTCCGTTGATTTCCCTCCCGCTTTGGGGTGCCTTCGTTCCCACCCCTTACCCCTTTCGCATTCCACCCTCCTCTCCCCTCTACCACGCGCCCCCTCTAACTGTTACTTCTGCCGCATCTTTCAGCAATTAGCCTTCGTGTTGCACGATTCTATAGTGGTACAAAGTAGACCCGATTTGTGTTTCGCCTCAGCGTTTGGTGCCTCCGGCTTAGTCACAATTTTCCAGCGCTTTCGCTTCCAGCACTGGAGTACTGAGAGGGAGCGCGCTTGAGCCGCCAGCGGACGACCCTAGTTACCGACCTCGTATCGATCCCCTGCCGGTCTCAGTAACTGACGCCAACTCGTCTCATGCACCGATGCGACTCATCGTAGGCTCATCGATTAGTGCACGGGGCGTTGTCTTATGTCCGAGTGCATGATTTAACGACTCTTGTTGACTTGGCAACTGTTTTCGTGGTTTTTTCGACTGAAAAACCGGGATGCTAATTCGTTCAGTTTGGCCATGCGGTAGTTACAGGGTTCATAATCGAATTCTAAACAGGAACAACTGTAAAGTTCAGTAACTAATACTACATGATGCCACGCAAACAGCTGTTTGGACCTTGGATTAAGTTATCAAACCCAAACAACAATTGGTACCTATATGACTCGACCGAATTAGTACATGCAGCATTCATTAATTATGGCGAACAACTGATCACTATAGGTGGAAGTTTATCCCTAAAAAGTCTACTTAGGAAATCAAGGATTGTAACTCCGAGATTTCCGCAGAACTTTTAAGAAATTATCTGTTTGATGGGTAGGCGCCATGTAGCCCTACTGGAGGTAGCTATGGCGATACCTGTGGGAGAAATAGATGCATGAAATGCAGTGAGGTGAGAGCTTGGGTGGTGACGGCGGTGGTGGTGGTGGTGGTACAGCTGGGGACGATGTCAACTTAAGTGGTTTGACATGAACACGCACTGTTCAGCTGACGTGAGCGTTGGCGTCAAGCTCCAGTTACTAACCGACACTAATCACTTTAATTCACCTCCGACCCCTGCCTGAATCCAGCGGAGTGTGCGTCAGCGTGTCTGCACCTCAGCGGAGGTGTTTTCGGTACCAGGATGGCGTGACAGTTCACTGTCAACAGGCTGGTGATCGTCCCCGCGTCTTCGATGGTGTCCAACTGCAGTTTTGACCATGGAACAATCCAAATTAGTCAGCAGTGAGGACAATGATTCGGGGCATGACCAAGAGGAATTTCGAGTTAAATTTTATGCATTTCGCGGGGTTTGTCGAGAGATATGTGGCCCGGTGTTATCGTGGTGATGGATTACACCCTTTCGATTGACCAACTTTGCACATTTTGTTGCTTTTTTCCTTGGAATGTTGCAATGCACCAAGTATTTTTCTTATCAAGGCATGACTTGGTCCACAAAAGTCCCGTTTTGTTGACAAGAAAGGGCACACAGCAAAATTACATGGCAGGCAGTGGCAACACACTTCGCTTTGTTTCCTTCTGTCACAACACGCGCTACACACGTGCATATCAAGTTTCAAGGTGCATCCAAGTTGCCTTAAATACTGGCGATTTGTCCACATTTGGTTTCCCAGCAATCTTGTCAGTGCTCATCGACAGGAGCCTTATTCACTACATCACGGATTAAGTCATTAACGGTGCCGGTAGGTAGCCCAGGGCTAAATTTATCCACGAGATTGGAGGGACCGTTTGGAAGCCCCCTAAACCACATTTAATAGCCCCAAGCGCACTTCCAACGCCATTCAAAACAGGCGTCTTGCAGATTTATTGTTGCAGTTCCAGCACCCACTTCTTAGTCAAACACATATTGCACATGGTGGCGAAAGTGTAACTTTTCAACTTCAATTTTAAATACTACTTTAACCCAAATTTTACGGTTATGTTGACTCAAGATGTACTTGGGAAATTGTCTTTTGATAATATGATTGCAGAATGAACATTGACACAGTCAAATGTTCACGCTTCTGCCATCTATGGTCATCGGGTTTGAGCGTTTGCAAGTACCAAATCAATGGTCTATTGTTGATCGCCTTCGACTTCACACCTCGGCACCACTGATGTGTGTATAGGCATTTAGAATGATTTATGGTTTAAATTTACATGTGATGAATTCACCTTCATCCGACTGGTATTTGTCTGGCCAGGCGATCCCCACGCTGTAGCGACAGACACGAAGTCTCACGAGAAGTGCGTTTTGGATGCTGCCGTCGATTGAGGCGGCACAAGCCACCACCTCCAGAAGGATTCTGAAGCGCG